ATAAACAATACAGCCTGTATAACAATCTGGATTATACCAAACAGATACAAATATGGGCAATACTACATGTACAACAATCTGGATTATACCAAACATACACTTATATGGGGAATACTACATGTATAACAATCTGGATTATACCAAACATATACCAATATAGATAATACAGCCTGTATAACAATCTGATTATACCAAACATCTCAATATGGGCAATCCTACATGTACAACAATCTAAGTATACCAAACATATACCAATATGGGCAATCCTACATGTATAACAATCTGAGTATACCAAACATATACCAATATGGGCAATCCTACATGTACAACAATCTTAGTATACCAAACATATACCAATATAGACAATACAGCCTGTATAAGAATCTGAGTATACCAAACATATTAATATGAGCAATCCTACATGTACAACAATCTGAGTATACCAAACATATACCAATAAAGACAATACAGCCTGATTAACAATCTGAGTATACCAAACGTATACCAATATAGACAATACAGCCTGTATAACAATCTGAGTATACCAAACATAAACCAATATGGGCAATCCTACATGTACAACAATCTGAGTATACCAAACATTTACCAATATGGACAATCCTACATGTACAACAATCTGAGTATACCAGACATATACCAATATAGACAATACAGCCTGTATAACAATCTGAGTATACCAAACATAAACCAATATGGGCAATCCTACATGTACAACAATCTGAGTATACCAAACATTTACCAATATGGACAATCCTACATGTACAACAATCTGAGTATACCAGACATATACCAATATAGACAATACAGCCTGTATAACAATCTGATTTATACTAAACATACACTAATATGGGCAATACTACATGTATAACAATCTGGATTATACTAAACATACACTAATATGGGCAATACTACATGTATAACAATCTGGATTATACTAAACATACACTAATATGGGCAATACTACATGTATAACAATCTGGATTATACTAAACATACACTAATATGGGCAATACTACATGTATAACAATCTGGATTATACCAAACATACACTCATATGGGCAATACTACATGTATAACAATCTGGATTATACCAAACATACACTCATATGGGCAATACTACATGTATAACAATCTGGATTATACCAAACATACACTAATATGGGCAATACTACATGTATAACAATCTGGATTATACTAAACATACACTAATATGGGCAATACTACATGTATAACAATCTGGATTATACTAAACATACACTAATATGGGCAATACTACATGTATAACAATCTGGATTATACTAAACATACACTAATATGGGCAATACTACATGTATAACAATCTGGATTATACTAAACATACACTAATATGGGCAATACTACATGTATAACAATCTGGATTATACTAAACATACACTAATATGGGCAATACTACATGTATAACAATCTGGATTATACTAAACATACACTAATATGGGCAATACTACATGTATAACAATCTGGATTATACTAAACATACACTAATATGGGCAATACTACATGTATAACAATCTGGATTATACTAAACATACACTAATATGGGCAATACTACATGTATAACAATCTGGATTATACTAAACATACACTAATATGGGCAATACTACATGTATAACAATCTGGATTATACTAAACATACACTAATATGGGCAATACTACATGTATAACAATCTGGATTATACTAAACATACACTAATATGGGCAATACTACATGTATAACAATCTGGATTATACTAAACATACACTAATATGGGCAATACTACATGTATAACAATCTGGATTATACTAAACATACACTCATATGGGCAATACTACATGTATAACAATCTGGATTATACCAAACATACACTCATATGGGCAATACTACATGTATAACAATCTGGATTATACCAAACATACACTAATATGGGCAATACTACATGTATAACAATCTGGATTATACTAAACATACACTAATATGGGCAATACTACATGTATAACAATCTGGATTATACTAAACATACACTAATATGGGCAATACTACATGTATAACAATCTGGATTATACTAAACATACACTAATATGGGCAATACTACATGTATAACAATCTGGATTATACTAAACATACACTAATATGGGCAATACTACATGTATAACAATCTGGATTATACTAAACATACACTAATATGGGCAATACTACATGTATAACAATCTGGATTATACTAAACATACACTAATATGGGCAATACTACATGTATAACAATCTGGATTATACTAAACATACACTAATATGGGCAATACTACATGTATAACAATCTGGATTATACTAAACATACACTAATATGGGCAATACTACATGTATAACAATCTGGATTATACTAAACATACACTAATATGGGCAATACTACATGTATAACAATCTGGATTATACTAAACATACACTAATATGGGCAATACTACATGTATAACAATCTGGATTATACTAAACATACACTAATATGGGCAATACTACATGTATAACAATCTGGATTATACTAAACATACACTAATATGGGGAATTCTACATGTATAACAATCTGGATTATACTAAGCATACACTAATATGGGCAATACTACATTGATAACAATGTGAGCAATTCTTCATTGATAACAATGTGTGATACATGTATTACATCTTTAACAATGTGGCAATACTATATATATACACACCATGATGGCAATGTAGGCGATAGTACGTATACACAAATGCGGTCAAAACTACACATATGAGTATGTTTGCACTTCTACGCATACATATTTCACAATATATTTTCATTCGCAAATATGAAAATAAAATCAACTGTTCATATTTTACCAATATTTGTAATTATAATGAGTTGACATGTACCGGATCTCTGTGGTAAAAAAAGAAGGACGTGTCAGGTTTTGGTGGCGGAGATAAGCCCGAGAACACGACGATAACCCGTTGACCTGCAGCCAGTTACTGTCCGCAGGTCAGCTGGTTTTCTTCGGGTTATCCGGCGATCTTCCGCCACCTAAACCTGACAAGTCCTATCAAAGCCATAGCAATTAAAATGCCGTAAAACACAAACAAACCAAATTTCACCTGATGAAGCGAAATAGTTTGAGACGACGTTCAAGTTTAGCGTATACAAATACACATCTATATTACTTAATGATTAAAAGAATCTATCGCTACTGGTTGTGTAAGATAGAGAAATCTCAACCCGAGGACTAAGATTTTTTGTCCAGAACGAGGCAGTCTTTTAATGTGAAATGAAGGTTAACATGGACCCAAAACACTTACAGGCAATTTGTTGATGGATTGTTGACGTGACGTCATTGAATTGTTGAAGTGACGTCATGCCATTGTTATGAATAGGGGAATCCCCCCGTCTCAACCCTAGGGCGGAGACAGATAAATCTAGCACCGACAAAACGGGAGATAAATCTGTCAGGTGTGGGAGAAATGTTGGTCCTTAACATATAGCTCTGAAGGTTCATGTTTCTGCACTGGTTTAATCACAGAAAATTACATTTTTGTCAATGACGTCATTATACAATTCATAATGCTTTCGAATAGAAAGCGTGTATGTTCGCGAGAGACCGACTATTGATTTTCAGCATGAACTGTTGATGCCAAACTGTGTTAATAGCATTTTTACATCATACCTTTACAATGTCAGTAGAACGAGAACATTGAGCCATATATTGATAAATAGTTAATTCAATCCTTCTCAATAATTATTTAGTTTCATCATAAATAAGGAGAAATCAAACTGTCTTAATAAATATGTGACAAAACAGTTATATTGTAACGTTAAAAGAAAGAAAACAATGGTTTATTGTTTATTTTATCGATATGTGAGTGCGATAAGTTATCAGATAAAGACGGGCATACAGTACCCAATTTGGTTCAAGGTTGGCGTTAGCAAACCAGAGTTAATAAAATATCAGATGTAATTTTCTATATAACTCGAAGTGAAATTAAAGGACCTCGAAAGGTTTTTGTTGCCAGTTCTCAGAAACTTTTTAATCTGTTTAACCTCGTATGAAAATCAAACAAGTCGGCCAGAAGTGAGGCATGGCTTGTGTGTTCATAGGAGTGCGAACAGTCTAATGCTAGTGCTAGGAAGGCTTTAAACCAAATCTTTTCTAGCTTTGTTATTTTTTATATACATTATAATTTAAATACTTTACAACCATATATAAATATGGCCGTTCGAAGTGTACCATGAGTCAAAACGACCGTAACAATAATTAAATGGTACTTAGAATCGATGTCAGGATAATGGAGTGGTTAAGCGTATTCTCCCATCGGTGAGAGATAATACCTGAGGCCCACTTGTATAAAACATCTCAACTCTTGAGATTTTCTGAAGTCTAAGAATTCCCATAGACAATTCATTGCTTGAGATTTTCCTTAACTTTGAGATGTTTTATACAAGTGGGCCCTGGTCCTTACAGAATCGGCCTCAAAAACTCATTAGCAGCTTTCGGGTTATTTTTATGCGATGGCCTCTATCTGGCCCCTACGTTCTGATGTCCTCTGTTTCTATTGACAACCATTATATTACTGATAAATGTAAGTACAAAGTAATGGATCAGACAAATAAATATCGTTAAAGTATAATACATCTATAAATAATGTATCTTTAACCAAACTCGTCAATCCTCATTGATAATAAAACAAAAACAAAATTTCTAAGAGCATACAATGTATGCAGGGTTCGATCTTCATATCCAACTATCATTTAAATTCATAAGTCTTTTAAACATAGCAATTAAGGTTAATAAACATAAAAATGAAACTGTTGATGATGTGTAAAAAACAAATATATCGAGAAACGTCTTCAACAAGAGCCGCTATATTAGTATCAGGTAACATGACGAGTATAACAGTACAACACATCATACAGTACATAAGGCAGGACCGGCTATCTGAAACAATTATTAGTATGACTTACCGGAATTTCGTCCTCCAGTTGTTGCGGTAGTTATCCAAATTGTTAGACACGATAACAAGATTCCTGTAAATGGAAGATATCTGAAATGGACTTGTTGTTTCCACATATTTGTTTTGTACCGAGATATCGGCCGTCGTATTAGCTACCTATATTGCAAAATGACAGACAGCAGCAGCAGCGCCCTTGTCATTCAGACAACGTATCGAATACACAGCACAGAACAATATTGGAAATATGTATGCATACTTAAACAACGCATAACTAAGGCGGATGAAGGTATATTCGCACAGATCCCAGTCAGCTGAGATATTGACAAAATCATTAACTATATAGTCCGCGACGGTTTTATATTAATAGAAACAGCATAGGTCGAATGTCAATTGATGATCGTTTAGCACGATAAACAGCCTTTTCGACATTAACATATTTTTTGTGATTGTTCTTTGCAGACAGTGGTGAAAAACAATTTAATTACAAGTTAATCATGAATGACCAGACCATGACCATTCTCTAACACGCTTAGCATTGTTCAGTTGGAGCTTGGTTAGTATTCATGTTTTATTCAGGTGTTTTAGTATCTTGGTTCAAAGACTAAAAGGCAGTTCTTTAATTATCACAGTACACATTGTCAGATGCACGTAACACACCTACACACACAGTTTTTTTTTTGTTTTTTTTTTTTTAATGGGTATAGAAATAGTTTGCTAAAATGAAATACACTGCATCATATAGTTGTTTCGTACTCTAGGACTCAACGTCGATGCTTGGGGCCGAACATTTGAAAATCAGAATTTGTCTAAGCCACAGTTGAAACAGAAGTTGAAGTGAATAACACTCGTAAATTTAAAAAAAATCGAAAATTCAAAGGTGTAAAGGTTCATTTCAAATTGGTTTATCTGTGAAATGTGTATATTATGAAGCGTGCCAGTGCTCAAAACAAGATAACTGTCTATCGAGGATACCTCATTGCTCGGGCTAAAACATCACCCAGCACAATCTACCATAGTTTATCGTTACAGATGAACGTAACACACCTTTTAAATTTATAGATCTATATATTGTCAAACAAGTTGGAAATGTATACGATATATGTCAATACCACAACATTACATACAGAAACAATATCATCGCTTTTAGAAAGTAGATAGATTTCCGGCTCATCTTTCGCGTTTGATTTCAGACACTGATATTTAAACACTGTAATGTCGATTTATCCGTGGACATATTATATAGAGAATATTACATGGTAAAATCCATATCACATGCCATATTAGCCCGATGACCCAATATCAGACCGAGGGCTTTACCCCGAGGTCTGATATTGGTCGAGGACTGATATGGCATGTGATATGGATTTTACCATGTTTTATTATGTTTATCAAATACTTGAACATACATTTTTGGCGATCATTTTTTTTCAATTATTAATTACGAACTTCAATTTCAAGCAATTTTTCACCAGATATCATCGATAGAAAATGTATATTAGAAAAAAAAGTGGAATAAATGCCAATTTTAGCGGTCGGATGGGAAATCGCACAGAAACAAAACAATATAAATTGTAACTTTGGTAATCAACACATTTTAATGAAATAAAAACACAATTGCAACAATAGAAATATGAATAACTGTCGGTTTACGTTAATCTTGGTGTCCGATAATATGGCCTATGTCCATTTGATGATTCTATCACATGTCCATCTGATCAGCTTTACTTATGGTCTGATTCTCATTTGACAAATTAATTTAATCAGATTCAGAATCATAAACAACGAGTTCAAAATCATCTCACCTTGAGCCGAACGTGACATTATTTCATAGAATCTCGTCTGCTGCGCACGCATAGAAACGGCACGATAACGCCAGACGTGTTCCGGACCCAATAGTCACGAGGTGTTCCGAAAATCCTGATATGCATTTTCCGACCGACCGGTCTGATACGTGATATGCATTTTCCGACCGGCCGGTCTGATACGGGTCACGTGATTTTAGTCGTATCATATAGGGCGGGAATCGCGTATTTAGTAGTAAGTATGTGATAATTGTTCATATATCCCTATTGTAGGCTTATTATTGTTTTAACCTACTAATATTAGTCTGCATTTCATTTGATATCGAACCGTGACGTACTCATTCAGTAATTATTTGTCAGCATATCAGATGCGTTTGGATCTACAAAGCAAATAGTTTGTTTTTATGTCATGTCGCTTGCCATAGTTTGACTCGGATATATCAATGCATATCGTGTCAGATGTAAGTGAATCTCCCATAAATAACGACGACAATAAGAGCTGATTGAATGGCGAATTAAATGTTACATGTAAACTTATTATTCGGAGTAGGCTGTAATCGCCAAGCTTGTCATTAAGTTTCGTAGTGAGGTTACCGTTATTGTCAACCCGTAGCAGAATGTCATTAGAGTTAGTAGTGAGACTTGAAACATCGTACATAATTTCAAATTTTGATACAGTCAACGAGATTTGGCATATACATATACAATATTAGTAATAAAGCAAAGCTTTAGTGGTTCCAGTACAGAGTAATTTATCAGATTTTAGTAACTTACTCATTTCATTTCTAAAGGGATAGTTATCTCCCCCTCTCTGTGCATTTTGTAGCTCTGAAACTGAGAAAATCGTTCATTTATTAAGGTAATAACAAGATACCAAAAACTAAAGCCGTGACTTATTTCTAGATGCTCCATTTATCCTTATCGTTTGGCCTTCTCCTTCAGAATTTCCTTCCCAGTAACTGCGTAGGCCATAAAGCATAACATTTACAAAATCATTAAATGAGATGCTTGCACATTTCACTAAAAATAAATGCTTTGGTAAACACAATCAAAGACAGCTACACAGTTCAGAAATACAATGGTAATGGTAAAGATAACAAAGCAAAGCACAAGTGTGAAAATCAATGGAAAAATTGCTATATACGACTTTTTCCTTATTATCTATTTGGCTTTTCTGTATTTACGCCATTCACACTGGAGTCTAGAACAAAGCTGACTTTTCTTTTCCTGTTTTTTTTTAATTCACTTTAGGTCCTTGACAGAGTCGAATAATCGTGTATGTACCCATTACGCAAATATTAACCATATCTCTCTCTATTTGAAGAGCATCATATATCAAGGGAAGTTAATCTTTACGTACACATGTGTTACCGTTATAACATTAAATTAAACCTAATTAAGAGTAATAAAACCTTCCTTTCCAAGGCGGTGTTGCCAAGAAAGACATTTAGAATCTTGAAAATGAAAAGAAAGAACTTTCGAATGAGTTTTTCGATAAAACTAACTGCAATACGACACACTGTCTTTGAACGACGCCAATTATGATTCCACAGGGAAATAGCAATACATACTATAACGCAAAAATATTGTTAGAAATACCACTACCACAGCAAAACGCTCACTATCTCATATCATCATTAAATATGTTGTACAGAAAAAAGAGGTATTGATTTATCTGGATTATCGTTTTTTTCTCGGTTTGGTATGTAATGTTTCATTAAATATAGATAGACATCGGGGTATTGTGTACTAGTCTACCTATGTATCTGGTGACACTAATGTTGATACAACTTTGGATTAGTCATATGTACATGTACAGAAAATCAATACTGGGAGCTGAAACTTTCAATTAACTAGTATTTTTATAGACGCTGATATGGTTTCGCCTATAGCTATTCAGAGGACAGATACAGGAAATCGTGCAGTACATGTTTGATATCCATGATTGATTCTGTTTCATTGGTTATGCATAATTTACATTTAGGACGATTAAGATCTGATCCACTCCTAGAATATTGTAAAGAAATCATTATTGTATCCCTGGGGCTTTGTTTATGAATATATGAAAGTTGCTACATATAAGTTTATTGATCGGTTATCAAACACTTTTCAAAGGCTGCACAATGCTGGTAGGAAAGTACTCTGCATGTAATACATAGGACATTTTGTGTTTGAATACCACAGAATGAATAATACACAACCGTTGACATCAGCATCTAATAATGCAAAAATCTCCGGTTACAACCTATGTGTCCCGCATAGGCATGCTGAATGATAATATTGCAAGAAGGAGTATATCTCTGTAAACACCCTGACATTGTCACTGATATTTATATAGACGTGCGAGAGTCAATAAGCCCCCTAATATCGATGACCAAGTATTAAACTCAGCGTAGCTGAATTGAGCCATTTCGGTACATATATAATAACTTATTGTACTCAAGCTTACAGCGTAGCCGAATCGACATCGATTTGTAAACAACACGTACATATTTACACCTTTCTGTACATACGCTTCATTGGTCATTTGTCTGGTGTAGATGGCAGCGTATAACCGTACTAGTCATGGAAACGTAACATATTCACACTTTTTGTTGTGCTACATGACCCTTTTTACAATCAGTTGTAGACATGAGTTACAAGTATTACAACTGATACTGTGTTAATAGACATGTCACCTTGTACACGGTATATTTCCGACGATCATACCTACACACATGTGTGTATTTCTCAGCACATTGTTTTGTTTTATTCGCGATGTCAGACTAACACATTTTACAAATACTGTAACCTTCAATGCATTATATCTTGTTATGACCTTACTGGTTCTATGTGTCTCACATATCGCCACTCTTTTAAGTTTGTTCAGTACCGCTTCAGTTTTGATTGATGTTTCTGGTGTTTTGTTCTAGGGTAACACAATTTGATTTATAAGCAATGTGGAATCATTTCTCATTGACTGTTAACCCGTAAAAGTGCTAGAACATTGGTCTAAGGAAAGGGTCGTTAAAGTGACATCTAAAGACATCCTCGTCTTATAACTTCAACAGTTACGGAACTTTATACAAACAAGCAAGCCAAGAAATAAATACAGCTAGTTTTGTTAAAAATAACTATAAAGTATGTGAAACAAAAAAGCAAGCAAAAGATACTGACAAACGATGAAACAAATATACAAACACACTAGTTTTGTTGATTATACCTATACAGTAAAAACAAGCAAGCAAAAAAGAAACTAACAAAGAACCAAGCTGAACTATAAACTTGAAGCAGCACGCACTATTTCTGGTTTAAGACGAGGAACGAGCCATAACATTTTATATAGAGAGACTGGCTTTGTTAAACTTAGTAAAAGAAGACATTTACATCAAAATATTGCATTTTTTAAATTCTTTAATCAATTGTTCATCTCATGTCTCAGACTTGATACTGCCCTTTCCTAATAACTTTGAACATTACAACTTTCGACAAAATAGGTTATTTGACATT